ATATGAATTTATTTATGTGTTTGTATATAGGCAATTATTATGTAATAAATGAAACATGTGTATCCTAAATATAGAAAAAATATTTAAATAATATTCTCAAAATTGTTTATTATTTAAGGTCAAATTAAAATTTATAAAATTATTTGAAATGATAATATTTTTTATAAAAAAATGAATTCCATAACAATATTTTAAAGGTTAACCTGATATTTAAATTTATTTTTATATAAAATTTATAATTTTTTGAATTTTAAAATTCTTGTGAGAAAAAATCAGGAACAAGTAATTCTTTTTCGCTGCTAAAAACCACAAAGAACAAGTCTGTCATTGGCAGCATATAACCGATTACAATATTCTTATGAATTTTGTCGAAGGATTGTGAAAAATATCCTTTATAAAATTATTAATACACTTCTAGTTAAAATGTGTTATTTATATAGCTTCAAGAATAAAATATTAAGTTCTTAATAGATATTCGCTTTGTCATGTCAAATTTTCTCCAAAAGGGTTGTTAATTAGCTTCATCGGTAATCACAAATTTTCGCAATATATTCGTTTGCGTACTCATATTTCGTTATATAAACGAAAAATCGGTTACAGACCTGTTGCTGTGATCTTAACATACTCCAAAGTATTGGTCATATTCAACACATTCATCCAACGTAAACTGGCATCTCTTTTAATTTATACAATATTATTATGGTCGCTAAAAATTAAATTTAAAATATTACAAAAAAAATGCTAAGGTGTAAAAACACATAAGAGTTAAAGCATTTCAGAATGGTTTATAACACGTACTCTACAGAAAAAAAACTGAACTCAAATACAATTTGTGGTTTTTGAAAATGTGTAAATTATAGGTAAAGCATTCCATACATTTAAATTTCGTGATATTTGAAAATTTACTTCGATTTCATGTCAATATTTTATTTTCATTTAAATTTTTTGCTTTCAAGAATTTTTTTTTAAATTTCAAAAGAATTTTTTTGTATTTTATGATTTTAATCATTTCATTTTATATTTGAAATTTATATATGTAGCTAGCTAGATAAGATTTTTTTTTAAAAATATTATGAAAATTATGTGGAAAAACCCAATATTGCGAATAGCTATAAAATGAACACGTTGAATATAAAATGATTGAATATTTTATTGGAGATAAAAATTTGGAAGGAAAAAACATAAATATATTCAAAAATATATTTATAAGTTTATTATACTAAAGTATAATAATGCATACCATAAGGATTATGGCGTTGGTATGTACATAAACAAAATATCATATTTGCGAGCAGTAAAACAACGCAGTTCGCAAAATCTTTATGAGGTCAGGAATTTAAGCATTTTAGTGAAAAATACAAATTGTTTTTTAAGGCCAACTAAAAGATGACAAAATAATATATGTAATTTGCTTATTGAGAAATTGCATTTTTTTAAACCTAAAGAACCATTAAAATAGTGAAATATTTAAGGTCCATTTGATGGAGTCTGACATATCCAAAAGTTTGTCAATTCATCGCCTTTCGAAACTTAACCAGAATATAAACCTTCATGAAAACCGACTTGTATACCTCAAAATTGTGATATTGTGATATTCAACTGCGGAAAAAACCGAAATTACACAAAACCAACTCCCATTAAATTTCATCTTTCTTATCTTATAAATTGCAAGTGTTGAAATCTTACTTTTGAAATTCATGTACAATTTCAAATTTTAATTTTCACTTGCCTCGAAAATTTATGTGGTCAGCCTTATATAACACTCCGATATAGTATTCGAAATTATTCGGAACTGTTATACATCTTAAAATATAATTCTAACAATTTCGACACTATATTATTCCAATTTTCAGTTTTTCATACATTTTACGAACGAAATTACTTCTTCTACTAAAATAAATAATCCAAGGGTAAACTTTTTTGTTGTTAAATGTTCATTTATTCTAAAAAAGTACATTTAACATTTTTAAGAAAATTGAAGGTAACAATTTCAATAAAGTATTCAGAAAATCACGACGTAAGTAGAACTTGTGTAGTACTAGGTCAGTAACTAGAAAATGTGATCTCCCCCAATGCAATATTTCCAATTTTCCAGGAATTTTTAAAAATCATTATCGTGTTCCATTTAAATAACGTTCAATATGTTAAAGGAATAAAACTTCCAACTGCACTAACTTAAAGCTACGAAGGAGTATTTGAAATCTATTGTTCGGCAAATTAATTTTTACTCGGTTACTACACGATTTTATTTATTTTTGCTCGAAATCCATTTTCGCTTGTGTACAACAGAATTTCTATAGAAAACAACGTCCCATTTTACAAAACAACTCCAGGTTGACAGCTTTAAGTGAAGTATTTTGTATTTAGCAGGAACGCAATAAATAAAATAATTAAATAAGGTTGAAATTCGAAGTTTGTATCCAAACTTCATTCCATTGATAGCATCTAACTTGGAAAAGGTAAAATTAGCGACGCAATCGACGTATGGTGGAATGACTCACTTTATTATAACAGCTTTTCTTACACATTATAATAGATGTCGTCGTGATAGCACAACTTTAATTTATAAAAGGAAAAAAAACATTATGTGTAAAACTTGTTTTTAAGAAAATGTAATTAAAATTTGTAATTAAAAATGTTATCATTGTTATGTATAGAAAAATCTTTATAATTAGTTACTTTCATTAAAAGCGAAATTTCCATCGTCTAAAAGAAAAATCAAAATATTTATTTTGATAAAAAAAAGTTTCTTTTTAGTTTTAAAGAAAATGTTCTTCTTAAAAACTATTTTAAGATTATCAAAATGAAAGAAAAAAAATAATGTTTTAAATTCATAAACTTTTAAGACCATAAAATCCTTGAATATTTTCCTTTTCCATAAGTTTCTGCCTATATATCCCATAAAAATATATTTATCTAGGTTTGCTATCGACATTTATTTGCTTGAATATAAAAATTAATAACTTACAATATTGTAAAATAAACATAAACCGCATATCTACATCATTTCAATTTCTTGAATTGAGTGTGTTATAATATATTTAATCCTTTAATGGTTAAGCAGTGGAATCTCTTTATAACAAACAGTTTACATTGTTACAAGCATTAGCAAAAAATTATTTAATATGGGTAGCATTTTTTTGTGTTGGATTGCCTGAATTTTATTTTGCTAAAATTTTATATTACGAACAAATCTTATGGGTTTTTGGATTTGGTATGTAGAGATTCTACCGCTTTTCTAAAGAAAGAAGAAATTATAGTGAGAGAGTTGTATACTTTATTTTCTGAAGGTACCAATAGAAATTAGTACGAATTTAGAAACGGCAACGCTATACGGCTACGTAATACAATCACGTAAATTTTGTTTTAAATGTCAATTTCTTAGAGTTTTATACTTTATTTTTAAAAATATCAATATTTCCGATTAAAGAAGAATTGCTTAAAAAATTTTAACTCTTCACTTAAATATCTTTGAAAATAATCAAGGAAAATTTCATAAGCTTTATAAAATATGAGAACCAAGTTTACTTTGCATATCATATTTGTCGTGTTATAAAAAAACAATGCAAGAATTTCAGACTGATTTCAGAAAGATCAACTTTGAGGCTCAAAAAAGAGACCCAAAATTTTAGTGAATATGTATGCAGTTTGTATATGTACAAAGTCTTTTAATATGCTCTCTAATTTAGTAGTATGGCAACAATATTCTGCTACTGAATATTTTAAAATATGAATTTTTTTTTTAAAAGAACCGCAAATACAAATACTCGTAAATATTCGTACATTTTTTGTTTTCTTCGAAAAATTTTTTAATATTTTCCTTTCTTTTTGAATTTTTGGTCATTATAACAGAAAAAAAAAATGTTATATTGATCCTTACATAATAACTTAACATAAATTTTATATTTTCAATATTAAAAAACAAAGTTCCGACATTTAAGACATCTATAGCCATACACATAAGGATACCCATGTATGTATATGTACGACTCATTATCCACAATATACTGAATATATGCATAAGTATTTTACTAATATGATATAATACCATATAACGCAATACAATTTATGTGTATGTCATTATGACCTTTATATACAAGCATGTTACAATGAATAATATGAGAATGCGATAAATTAATTCATGTAAAACAATATGTCCTGTTTAACACTTCAATGAACAAAATAAGTAAATTTTTTATATATATTGTGGTATATATGTAGTCGTATATAGTAATATTTAAAATGATATTTTGTACTATTAAAAATATATTATATAGGTTACTTATGTTTTACATACATAATATGTGTATATAAACATGTTGTATATAATTATTGTATTAAGGTTGACTTGACTTTTTTTTTGTTTTATAATAAAAAATTTTTTGTAATTAATTATCAGTCATTGAACCTAAGTGATCTGAATTTATTGTTTTTTATATATGTATGTATAACAAAAAAAAAAAGGGAAAAGTAATTTAATACAAAAAGGAATAAAGGATTTAAATATTTCAAAATATTTGAAATATTAATAGTGTCACTCACTTGTTACAACAGTGACTTAACTCAAAAATATCTGATTTCTGAGTTGTGTGTATAGAAATAAGCACTTAAAGCAACTCTTATTTGAGCAAGAACACAATTTCTCTAGAGATTAAAAATTGTCGCTTATAAATTAAATTATAAAATAATGCTATAACTACCAAAACATATTTTTAACTCCAGAATTTTAAAATTCAATTTTCCAACATTCGGGTGGCAAATTTCAAGTTCTGTCAGTGTTCCAGCAAACAAGTGATGTATACAGTTGTATTCGCACAAGAATGGTATACAGTGTACTAAATATGTCATTTGTCCATGTTTTTTTAAAAAGTATGCATATAAACACGTCCCGAACTATGTCAGGAATGTAAATAACAATATAGTACACTTGCATACATACATATACATATAATACTTAACGTAATACTTAATATTTTATATAAAATTTCAAGAAAACCTACCTTTTTTTTGTAGTGTAATTTTTCAATTATTATTTATAATAGAAATCATTATTAATGTTACTTAATATATAGTTGAATATTTAAGTAGTGTAATTAACCTTTAACATATATTGTATTCACTTATGTATTATAATCACATTTACTTTACTTATATGTGCATACACAATTAAACTCTACTATTTAATCTTAAATGATATTATTTTTAATTGTTATAAATTTTTAATAATTTTTATAAAATTTAATTCACATTTTTTGTATAATATGAAATTTTATTTTTTTTTTATAAATTTATTATAATTTTTAAATGTTAATTTCAATGCTAATTTATAATTTAAATATAATATTAATCACATATATCCGTTTTGATATATATGTATGTAGAAATATGTATGATTGATGTGTGTATTATACTATGACAAATTATCAATGGTTGATATTGTTATTAATTTTTCATTTGAAAATTTTTGAAAATTAATATTAATTAACGTTCATAATATCGTATTTAATTTAATTATGCTTGCAATATATAGTGATATATATATGTACTTATATCACTGCACTTAAAATATAATTTACTATATAATTTATTTAAAATTACAAAACTCTATAATAATAATGATGATAATGATGATAATTACAGATCACAATAATTTATTACAATAAAAATTATGTTTAATTTGAAATGCATAATCATGATATTTTTATAAGTACATGTATAACTAATTATATTCCTTAACTGTACGCTTAATTTCAAGAAAGTTCCCCGCCAGAAACACTTATCGAATTTGTTTTTTATAATATTTTCTAATATTTTTTTTCCTACATATATAGTAGCAATTATCCTTAATTTATCAATTTCTTAATAACCAAAATTTTCAAATTCTTTTCTTGAATTTTTTTTTTTTTATTTTAGACTGAACACGCCGAATTCTAAATTCAAACTGAATTATTTTATTTCTTGTTTACGAATTTTAAATATACTGAAAGAAAGAAAAAATTTTATCTAGATGAAAACTTTTTACACTACTATACTATTTATGTATGTACCTATTTATAGTATACATATACATAATTACGATATTTGATTGAGAAAAAAAAATTACCCTTGATGTGTAAAAAATATTGACTGTGTAGTACTATTGTATAGTATAGAGTGTAAATTATTTAATAACGGTAAAAATTATAATACAACAAAAAATTTTAATATTTACGTTTTTTACGATATTAAGGAAATTTTCGAAGTAATTTCTTATTCTTTCACTCTTTCCTTTTCACAAAAAAAAAACAATATCGTAAATTTTACTTGAAAATATCGAAAAAGTTGTCTGTCAAATGGAAATGTAGGTGAAAGCTTTTATACCGGTTATTTTTGCATATTTGGGTTTTGCATCAAATATATATATATGTACATAATATGTATGTATGTTTGTATAGGAAAATAATACAAAAAAAAAACAATAGGTTTAAGGGAAAGATAACAAATTTAAAAGGTTTTTAGTGCATGAATATAAGCATTTATTATTATAGGATGTTTGGATGTGTGTATATGTATTGCAATTCGTATGCTATCGGATGAAATACGACAATATAGTTTAAATACGTAATATATACTATTGTAGTAGAATAATTCTCTGTTCTTTACAATATTCTACTTTCTATGTAAATATATTAACATACTAACTAACATAGGTATATGTATTATGTCAAGTGTTAGTATACAATAATTTTAAATTTCTTCTTTTAGGTTTATTTGAAGGAAAAAATGTATTTTATGTGCGGTTTCATAGCAAAATTATTTGATATAAATATTTTTCTATAGTATAGCATATGAATATGATTTTAAAATATTCATGAAGATTAACTTGGTATGCTAAAATAATTTAAAAAAAAATACATAAAATTAAAAATGAATAAATAACAAATTGAAAACTAAAAATTTCAGTGTTAATCAACAAAAAATGGAAACAATGTTGAATGTTGTAAAAAAGAAACAAAAGTCATAAGGATTAAATTGGTTTGAAATATGATTAATGATGAATTCTAAACTCCTGATATTATTCGTTTTTATGATCTAAAAATTCTAACATAAATATTTCGGGTTTCTATATTATTATTTGAAATTTAGTAAATATTTTATAACTTTTATTTTATGCACATATGTATGTATTTTGTTTGCAATAATAAAAACAATAATAAATTTTAATATTTAATATTTAATTTTATTTAGAAAGCAAATGAATAAATCTTAAATGATGTTCTGTGTTTCCGATTATAAAATAATAAAATTGCAATTTGTTCTGACTAAATAATTTCCAAATATTTTTCGATAAAATAATTGCAAAGTTAACATAAGCCTTATTGTACCAATCACTTCTTATTTTATTAAATTACTGTTTTTACAAAAAAATTTTTACCATTTAATTACACGAATTAGAAAGTGTAAGATACTATGCCAATATTACTAACAAATTATATTTTGGAAAGAATAAGTAAGGACACAGTGTAAAAGTTTCTAACCAAATTACGAATTAAATTTAAATTAATGGCTCGCTTCGATCGCAATTATATCACATTTTAAAATAAATTTTCTTAATTTACATTTGAAAACAAAACTACAGCCATTTCATTGACTAATGCTTTCGCTATTAAAATATCTTTATTAGACAGGAGCTCATTACTTTTGTAAATTATGGCAATTTTTTCGTAAGTATTCAACTATAATTCAATGTCCCTTAACATTAATACATATGGAAATTGGTTCTTAATATCTTGTTCGTTTTACATACTTAAAAAATTCAATTTTAAATAAATATTGGCATAAAAAATGAATATTAATTCAATATACTTAAGAATTTAGTTTTTTTTGGAGTATTGCCATATAATTAGGGCGTTATAGTGATAAATAAAGCAAAAGACATTTATTTTTAATGTTATTTAACATGCAGAATAGTTTGTGCTAATGTAAGTAATGAATTGTAATTTTTGCTTAATTTAGCAATTTATATTTATACGAACTTTTAAATATGGCTAGAAAACAAAATATAGGACTAAGAGAGGCATTAATTTGATTATAAATGCATTTAAGACTTATGGAATAACGCAAAATACTGAACTACACTGTTTTTGTAGGAAATTGTTTGTGTGAAGTCGCAAGTATATACGAGTAATTTGTTAGAATCTTAAAAAACTTCGTTTTCATCCAGTATCACTGCATATCAAAATATTGCACAACTCTAAATTCAAAAACCTAATAATCTAAATTTTCAATTGAAGTTAGACATAGGGCCATTCGACAATTAAAAGAACTTCCACTAAATTAATATTTCAAATGACTTATCCCGTCTTCTCTAGAACGGTAACTTTAGCAAATTGCTACCCCATCCATAAAGTTCTTAAAAGTGATTAACTACAAGCTAAACATAATGAAACTAATATATTTAAGTACAAATGAAAAATATATTTAAGTGCATATTGTACTTAATCAATGAATCTCTTAAATTCTTTATACGCTAATACTCGTATTATACAACTTAGTACAATAAAATGTTGTAATGTGATCTCATTAACCATGTGCATGAAGGAAAACATTTGAAAACCGTCATTTAAGGAAAGTCATCTCCTATCATCGGAATTTGTCTCTGAAATTTTTTCAACAAAAATGAAAACGTACATAAGCATGCACACATATAAAAGTTTTAGTTTTCCAGTCAAACATGATATTTTTGGTTTCTTCCACGTACCACGGGTACTATTCATCAGAGACTATAAAGGTGTTCATTTTCAATTTCTCATGTTTCTTTTATTGCATCGTTGCACAAAACTTTTTCTTTCTATTTATTATTTTTCGCAATTTCCTAACGACAAGGAAATGTTTTTAAATTTTTTTCCAACCATTAGCTATTTAAGATTGATGATTAAAAACTTTTCAGAAAGGACAGAAAAGAGAAAAAGAAAATATGGTTAAAGTTATTGGTGTTCTAGTTTTTGATTCCTCTTTCTTTTTGCTTGAAAAATGAAAAGGGCAAAAAATGAACAAAATTTATTTTCTTGAAGAGAAAATTATTTGCGAAAACTGATTTTGTTTTTACTTTAGTTGACATTTTATTTAACCGAAATGTTTTAAGAAGGGAAATTAAATAATGAAAATGTTTTGGTAAATTTATTTCAATTCGAAGGACATCATTTACAGATGAATGACTAATTCAACATTAAAGTTTTAATAAAGGGAGAAAATTCTTTTTTCGTCATTAGAAAAGTGTTGCTAATGAATGTGAAAATAAGTTAACGATTAGTCTCGAAAATGTTTTCAATAAATCAAATAAGACAATGTAAGATACATTTGAACATTATATTAAATATTTTATTTTTATTTTGCATCTTGCTATATGGTTGATTTTTAGCCTTTTTCCAACAAAAAAATTTAAAAAGAAGTGCTTATTAGTTTCACTCTGTCCGTTCGTTTATGTGCTCTGTTTGTCTGTTTGTGGACATGTTTACATAACTTTTACACCCTTGAATGATACTAGAAATTTATTTCCGTAGAAGAAAATTTTTACTTATCTACCCCCTTCTAAAAGTTTATTTATAAGAAATCATAAGCATTTTTCAAATTTTGCAAAAGCAAAAAATTAATGGCTGATTTCTTCAACCGCCTTCACTTCCTTTCAAGTTATCGCCTCTCAAACTTTGTAAAATTTGAATTTTTGCCACCTTATATTTTCGAAAGTGCAAACTTTTTCAAATTTCTATAAATACAGAAAGCTAACAGTAATTGCCATGCCAATAAAAAATACAGTTACTTTTCTTATTTCACCCAATAAACCCTTAAATCGAGCATTATGTTAGTTTCTCCTTAAATTTTTTTTTATTTTGCATATTTTAGAAAATGCATTGATTGCTTATCCTAAATGTATGCAATTTTTGAAATATGTTCGTATAAGAATGACAGTAGTTTTAATAATGTAGTACATAGCTAAATTGTTTTTAAAAGCAGTATTCTCACTTGTTGAAGGGAAAAGTGCTACATTATCAACTAAACATTGGTTTGACCGACCTTTATGAAGCAAAAAAACATTTTCAACACAATATATCAATATTAGTTAAAAAAATTTAAATGACTGGTTTCAATGAAAAACAAAGTAGTATATTAAATTCTTACAAGGTGCAATAAAATTTAAGGAAACTGCAGCAGATATTAGTTTAATCAGCAAAAGTATTGTCGTAATTCTGATATTAAATTTAATTCGCTATATACTTATGTATATAGCGAACTTATACTATTTTTTTATTTAATGTTCTGATTCGCTTTCAGCGTTTTAAAACTTTACCACGTCCTATAGAAATTATGTATTTTTTTAATTGTTACATCTGTATTTTCAGAAGGACTGTCAAATTTTAAAAGCTATGCAATAGGAAACTGGTGTGCTCGGAGGTAAATTCATTATAAAATAATTAATATAATATTTATTATATATAATTTAGTTTAACGGTCTATTTGTCTAATTTTAGCTTAAGAATTTCAAAATTTCAATATTAAATAAAACTTCATCTTTGTAAAACCCTTTTTTGCAATTCTCGTAACTAAAAATAAGTAAATTAGAACAAAAACTTTTATATCATTTTATAATCACGGATAAGAATCTTAAATTGTTTAATCTTTTCTTAAATTGTTTTAAAAATAAGCTAATAAGAATGAGGAATAAAAGTTATTCGTTCATAAAATATTGATTTTCTAATACCAAGTAGAAATCTAATATTAATTAAAAAGGATAAATCCAATAACTGAGGCTAATTAGTTCTTATGTAAATATATAAAAATTTTTTATGCTTCCTTTATACCTCAAATATATATCAAATTTATAAAGAAAGCTTATGGTTTCTAAGGAACAAACAAAAGCGATGTACGAATTTAAATATATACGCAATCAACGTTTCTTATCCTTGTTTCCTTTTGTTATTAAAATATGAAAAAATGTTTGATAGAGTTTATAACCTGCAGAATGTAAAATAATATTTTTGACCTACTGAAAAGCACACAATAAAGGACTTAGTACGAATATTTTTATATTAATTGTGTTTATAAAAAATGCACTGAATTTTAAATTATTCAAGGACTTTATTTTTACAACAAATACACGAATAAAATTAAATTTTCTTTAATACAGTTTTAGTTATTTTGTCTTTTTGAAGAATGCTTTAGTTATGCCACAGTATATTGGCATTCAGTATCTTAATTTCAAATTGTTATGCAAGTGTGCACTAAGTATCTTTGTACATGCTCGTATAATTTCGTTATAAACGTATAATTACTGGATTGGAATTGATTAATAATATTTTTCCACTTTTAATTGAGAGACTTCAATTAAAAATTTTCTTCGTTATTGAAAATTTTATTTAAATTGAGGAAAAATCATTATTAACCAAAATAACAAATCGGGAAGTTTGTTAGAAACCAATCAAGTTGTTTCTGTCTTGTATTTTTCCTATTAAATTTTCTTTTACTTTTTCCATTTTGTATTTTTGTATTAGTATTTTTCCTTTCAAATTTCTAGAATAGTAAGAAAATATTAATATACATATTCGTACTAAACTTTATTTTTTTGTCTAATATACAAAGAACTTATGAAATTAGAATTTAATTTTTGAAATGAAAATAGATAGTTAACATTTTAAAATTGACAGGTGACAGCTGACAACTAACAGACGACATATGACAGTCGACAGGTGACATCTGACAGATGACAGATGACAGTTGACAAGTGACAGATGACAGGTGATAGATGACGGTTGACAGCTGACAAATAACAGTTGACATGTGACAACTGACAGATGACAGGTAACAGATGACAGCTGTCAACTGAAAGATGACAGCCATCAGTTGACAACTGACGGATGACAGATGACAGCTGCAAAGTGACTGATGACAGCTGAAAGGTGACAGATGACAGGTGACAGCTTAAAAATTTTTTAAACGAATGAGAGCAATACTCGAAATAATTGTTGTCAAGGTATGTCATCCATCTTTTCAAAATGGTTTCCCTTTCCACAAAATTTCTCTTATGCACATTGTTATATTTTCTTGATGCGCTTGTTGTTCCTACGGCGTAGTTTTAATTTTAGGAAATATTTCTAAATAATTTTATAACGATAAAAATGGCAAGCAGCAAAGAGTTTCTAGAAAACTTATTGGAAAGTGGTGTTGAGTTTGAGAACCTTGATGATGCAGCTCGCATGGAAAAAGGATCGGAACTAGATTTGTTTGCCAATTTTGTCCACTGCATAAAGAAGAATGTTTCACAGCAGATCACACGCTTACACAATCTTAAACGATTTAATAAATACTGTTATGAAATATTATAAGAAATATATTTGATTTAACAAAGTTTTATTGTAGTTACAACGCTTTAAATCCATACATGCATGTTTATTAAATTCCAATGAAAAATGCCCGGAAACCAAGAAAGACAGAGCAGGTCCGCTAAGTGTTAATCATATCCATGTAATTAAAGCTGAAATATATATCATCCTAAAATTTTTTAAGTCGAAGTCTTAATTATTACTAAAATTGGGAAACTTATTAAACAATGTTCAATTATTGAATACAGAATGTACTGACAATTTATAAAAGTATCCATCAAATTAAAGTTATGATGTGAATTAAAATTCGAAAAAAGTCAAAATTTTTAATTAGAAATATTTTTAAATATAAACAATAATTTCTCAATTTATTGAACTGTAAACAAAATTAATGAAGTCAATTCTGAGAAGTTGTAGTTTAATTATACTTCTAAGTTTTTTTTATTAAATATCTTCAGCAATTAAAATTTTAAAATTTTTTTTACATAAGCATATATTTCTTCAGAAATCAAATTACAGTAATCATTAAAACGAATTTATAGATAGTATACAACGAAACATACAAAATTAGGTAATATAAAGCTTTATCAATACTGTGAATATTAAAACTGCGTTTATTGAATATAATTTTTATTAAATTTTTACGGTAGGCTCATCACCTATCTAGTAAACTTAATGACGTAAGAGACTGGTTCATGGTTTTCTACAACATCATGCACCAGCCCCATGCTCCTCCCAGGAGCGTAAGAGAAAATTACTTTTTTACTTATTAAATAACTTATCAGTGTTATCAAAAACCGATAAAATACCAAAATTAAGATTTTTTAACTCGAGAAGGGGACCAAAAAGTTTAAAATGACCTTTATAATTCACTTTTTCGTCTGCGTTCTCTCTAATATCATCGAGCTCTGAATATAAACAAAAACACATGCACATAAAAGTACAAATATCAATATTACTTACTAAATTAGATACAAATTTACATTTTCACACCTACTTTTACTGTTATTTCTATTTTGCATGAAGTGAATGGATAATATCAATTTAAATTGAGAAAAGATAGAGTTGATCGTGTCAACTTTGTAATATCCGTACGAGTTTGCTATCCTATGTGCGAATTAATATGTTATAGCTGACTATGGGACAGACTATGACTTTAAGTTGCCGTATTACCATATCAATTTATGCAAAATTTCAATACTGGGTTGTCAATATTTTCTAAGATGTGGCCAAACTACTATTGGAGTCGTATGGCAGCTACATTTATCACACACATTAGACATTATAATGTTACTGCTTTTATAGTTTCTGAGATATAGCCAAATAAATTTTGAAGTTGTATGGCAGCTACCCTAAATAGTACCCCGGTCATACCCAATTCAAATAGAGTTCTGTCATTTACTACAATGAAAAATTTGTGAAAATTTGGTGAACTTAGCTGAATTAGTTTTTGAGTTATCAATGGGACGGACGGACGAATATACACTTGAGTCTATATCTTAAACTATTATTTCTTAGCGTTACAAACGGTAAGGCAAATTTAGTATACTCTTCAAACAAACGCTCGTACGGTTATAATGATTGATAGCCAACTAGAGATGAGGCTTTAAATATTCTTTGGAAAATATTGTTCATATAATTTTGTTTGTAATTTTAAAAAAGGAATTTTTTTTCGGTTATTAAAAAAAAAGAGTTACTTTTCTTATAATGCAAATATGTAATGTGTAAATGTAACATCAACCTTAATTTTTTGAATTTGTATTATCATTTTTGAATTAATTTAAATTCAATGAAAGTTCGAATGCCTTCACACATATTTGCGTTATTCAATTACACATATGTATCCTTTTAATGATTACAAAATATGATTGATGATACATAAATTGTCTAGACTTTCAAAATTACATACTTTGAACAGTAATAAAATAATATTTTTGACCTTGAATGACACCGCAGTGCCAAAAAATATATAATCTGTCTGTTATAATATTTCATAATATTCGCTATCGTAATATCGTAAAGTAAAACTTAAACTTCAGCGACAACAAAACAGAATAATATTCCGCGTTATTTTTTTTTGCCTAGTTTTATTTTATATTACCTTATTTACGTGGGTTGATGGAATAATGGCATACTGCCCTTAATTCAACGTTAAAAATGAATTTCAAACATAATTGCACAATTTTTACAACAATTTCTTCAATTATGAATGTTATTAATATTAGCTGATTGGCGACAAATAAGTGGCTATATTTTTATAAAAAAAAATTTCTTTTTCAAGCGGACTACGCACTTATCGAATGTAAGTGCTTCGTCTTTAAGACGCTTTCATATTAATTGAAAAGTGATTTTTAATACGACAACTTTGTTGTGCTTATAATTTAAGGTCTTCTTCGTTATTTTTCGGTCATTGCACTTCAAAAATAAATTATCTTAAATGGCAAATAATCATATTATTTTAATTTAACACTTCGTTTAATATAATTTTCCTTAATCGCATGGGGATATTCTATACTTTTATGATCGAATTATATTTCATATAATATGATGATAATAATGATGATTTGGTTTGAAGGTGTTCAGATCAAAAATTTTTATAATATCAAAGGTTTTTCTAAATATTCGATTCTCTTTTATCAATTTTATCGTATAATATTCATTTGTACAATCGATAAGATCCATAATTGGATTTGTTAATAATTTTGTATATCTTGCATTTTTAAATCCAATTTTTAAGATTACCATTTTGCATTTATTACGTGTTTGGTTGTTATAGCTGTTCCTTATATTAAATTCGAAAATTCTATCATCTTTTTATCAAATGCATAATAATTCTTTGCAAATAAATAAGAGTTGTTCCTGTTGAACGAGTCCAACATTTTTTTAATACTTGTGAGGAATACTCGTATTATGTTGGATATCAGTATGGAAATTTTCAAGATGAAATTTAATTTTTGTTTTCCTTAGAATAATCGTTTTTTCTTTGCATAAAGAATGAGAAATTCTTAGGATTTTGTAAAAGAATGTTGGTAAAAGTTCTTAAGAACAAATTGTTCAGAAAAAATTTTCTTAGTTTTTCGTTTTACTTTTATCAAAATCTGTAAGGATAATATGCTAAGCATATGATACGAAAAAGTGAACTCTATGGAAACTAGTTTACAAGTGGTATTTAACCTCTTGTACTCAATATTCTGTTGCTATCATACAAAATATGTGCATGTCATGCATAAGGTTTTTCATTGTTTGCTTGTTTTTCATAATCGTGACTTTTTAAATTTCATTTTTGTTTTTTTGTTATTTTTCTTTTCCTTTTCAATAACACAAAAAAAAATTCATTATATTGTGCATTCCATTTTCAGAAGGGTACTTCAATTACTTGACTCTTATTATAATTTTTTAATAATCAATAATGATGATACTGATTATGTGATGATATTTAAAATGAATTTTAATGCATTGAGTCCTTTTAATATCAGTAGTGTATAAGATGCATATATTTTCTACATTTTCAAGTAGTTCTCAGATCTTTGTGCATCTATATTTCTTCACCCTTTTCAACCACCTATTTATCCTTATATCTGTATAAGCTCTTAATTTGTAGTTATATATATATTGTGGGATCTTATCAAGATGAATATCGATTTTGCAACAGTTTGAAATAATCTTAAATAACGGAATCAAATTAAATAACACTCAACTTTATACAATGTACATATAGTAATTTGTGAATTCATCAAAACATTGTGGTGAATACAAAATTCAATGTAAATATCGTCTTAGAATTAAATTGAAATGAGTTCAATGGTTCAAATTTTATGGTAAATTATTTTAAATTCAACTACATTATCTTATGGAAAAGCAGAAAGTGATCGGAATTATAAAAATTTTTATTATATTTTAACGCAAATACCACAAAATATGCAATATCATTGAAATTTTACAAAATTCCTCGAAATTTATATTCAAGAAAAATTGCATACTTTTAGTATAAATATTTTTATTTTTACATACTTATGTATGTAGCTATATATAGCAAAAATATTGTACAATGTTACACATTTTGAATTGCAAGTAATTGCTACTGGAAATTTTTAAAAATGCAAAGTAGGTTGCATGTAAAAAATTGTTGTCATATTTTATAAAATTTCAAAAATAATATTGGAATGAGCTTATATTTTTTGTACAATTTGCGTTAAATTTTTAGAAATTGAGGAAAAATATAAGGTTTTAAAAATGTTTTGAATATATTTTCTAAAGGGGATTAAATCCATCGAATGGTCCAAAACTTAAATGGTACTCATACTTGAATGAAAATAGTAACAAAATTTCACATATTTGTAAATTTACTATCGAATATATAAGAGATGAAAGATAATAATTGTTAAATAAGAATTACAGCAGTAGAATAGTGTCAAATTAACATAGTTCAAATGAATTTAAAGTAAAGCATCGCAGACGCTCCCTCCTTCATTTTTAATAGAAACTATTCTAACATGTTCTCCTGTCTTAGCTTCAATGTATGAAGAAAATGAGTAAACAGATTTTCAAAATTTCCTGACTTCCTGTATTTATTCTGTATATCATTCCTTCGTTCATTTATCAACAACGCTTTGTACGAGCATTTTGAACCATTTTCCCATGCTTTAATATTACTATCGAGCAATAGAAATCAATTTGGAATATCTTTTTTGTTTATTATTAAATTATAACCTAATTAACACTTAAACCTGAACTTAATTTTTAAATTGATGAAACCTATAATTTTATCCTACTTCTTTTTACATAAAATTAAATTATAATTAAAATTCTATTTGTTTTCACAATTAATTTCTCAAATCATTAACATCTAATTTTAAAATTTCATTAAAAATTAAATAAAAATTGTAAAAAATGAGAAACAGAAAAAATGTTGTCACAAAAATGTTTTAAATTTTTGTTTAAAGAAAAAGTAACAGAATCAAAAAAACCGATCACGTTTTCAATATTAAAATTCTTTGAGATTTAGGTTTTCTATATAAGTTATTATTTTTCATTCGTTTTAAATTGATCTACCCACTCATCATGCTTAGAAGGAGTCTACATTCTATTGCGAAAAAATAGGTCAAAATAAAGACGAAATTTCTTTTATCCTATGTTTGTGTTGTTAGAAATTCAATATGCGTACGTATTTAATAGATTTATTTTAGAGTATACATAAGATACTATATTTCCGCATTAACTTTGGTGGAAGATTATAACAAAATTCAAACTCCTTTTATAATGATAGAGAAGCATATTTAAAACAAGCTTTCAATTTCAAATCTATCTAATCTAAAGCTAGTTTGCATATATTTTATAGCCAAAATTGCTGTTAAAATTAATCAATTTGTATGAAAGTTTTAAAAGACAAAAAGAACACATTCGTTACAAAGTTGTATTTATAATAATATAGCCTAAATTATTAACAATAAAATCGAATGCGATGGACACATGCTTTAAGTGTGAGCGAGATTTTTTTTAAAATCATCATAATATATTAGAAAACGTTAAAAACATATTTGTCAAATAAAGATGTCAAACCTTAATATCATTACTTCTGAAACAGGTCAGCTCCAAAAATTTAATAAATTTAGAAAACGTTAAAAACATATTTGTCAAACAAAGATGTCAAACCTTAATATCATTACTTTTGAAACAGGTCAGCTCCAAAAATTTAATAAATTTAGAAGCTATTTGAAACTATTTGAGGCTTCTTATTTCATAATTTTACGAAATAACGTAACCATAACCACCATTTACATAATATTAGAGTTCATAAATATTTTTTTAAAACACGTACACATACATACTTAAAAACAAACATTTCTAAATAAAGAATGTAATATTGTAAGATTTTAAATAATACACCAAGCACATATAATATATTTATGTCGTCTGGATACGTAAAGTAAATTGGGAGAAGAATAATGAAAAATTTGTACGCGTACAATTCCTTTTGCTAATGTTTTGAATTTATGAATTCGCCTTTTAATCAATTTCAGAAATTTTTGATACTCGTTACATTCAAAGTTGTAATAATATAGATGCATTTTAATATTATTATAATTAAATTAAAAATTACCATTATATTCCAAGTTTCTAGTATTTTTATATACAAGAAATTTCTAGTTCATATTTCAGGCTATAGCTTGAATTAAGTTTTATGCAGACTATTACATTTTTAGTGAATGATTTTAAATGCATATACTTATATACCCCAGTATAACAGATTTTTACTACTTTGTTATACAAATATTTCCTTATACTTTTGTTCCTGTTATTTAAAGATTTACAGAATTGAAAAAAAAATCCAAAAATTCCATACAATCTACTTGCCAATACAATTTTTAACCCCATGTTAAATAATCTTGAAGGTTAATATTTATGTTTTAACATTTCAATATTTCAATACTGTAGATTCAAATTCATATGAAATATTATAAATATGGCAACTATCATATTATCCGTATATAATAATATTCAGCATTCTCATTTATTATAAGAATGAGAAGGAGAATTTTACAAAACCACAAAAGAAAAATGAAATCCCCAAGGTCTCTATTAGTTTTTATTACCAAAATTAAAGAAAATTACAAACTTCCTGAATAAATTTTCTTACCTAAAATTAGAATTTTCCCCCTATTCGATTTACTATCGAATAAAGTGGTTAAAGTTATGAGGTTTTTTTTCCCTTCATTCCGAAAATGAAAAAAAAAAACTTTTATAATGTTAAATCTTTTATGAAATACTATAAAAATGTTACTTACGTTTTGCTATATAGATTTTAGTTTTAGTTATTTTCGTATTACTATTTGGTAAAATTAATCTGTAATTTCTATTCGAAATTCTAATAAGAGATAATGTTACGAATTTTAATAATAAATGGTCTGGAATGCTTAAACCACTGTTGAATAGTATAGAATACAAATTATTATGTTGGTACATAAGTCGATTAAAAACCAATGTTAAATATTTATGTACATATATACATACTCGTATATACAAAAGTAAATATTTATATTTCCACAAAGAGATGTAATGTTTTTTTAAGGACTTTATATAATACTTTTGTGATATTGCAGGAAAGAGCTTAAAATATATGTTGGCCAAAGCATTTGGATATGTTGAAATTATCAAACAAAATATTTTCCAATAGCAATATTATTGAAGTAAATTTGAGGATTAAAGAAAATGAAATAAAATTGAAAAACATGATACGAGCTAAACTTTTTATGATTTAGACTTTTCTTTATTTCCGGTCATATGTTATTGAAGCGAAAGGACGCAGCGTTTATGGGGTTACATACATGCATTTTTCATTACTCATTTCAATATTTTTAAAAAAAATTCAATCATTGATTGATTAATAATTTCGTAAATTTATTTTCCATCCTTTTTAAATAAGCCCCCATTTGGTAAAGGAGTTTCATGAACTGAAATGAAAGTAATTGGAAAACTAATTCAAATTTTTGACTTTACTAAATTCCAAAAAACCAATTAAGTGTAAAATATAATGTAAAAATAGGCATTCAAATATTCCTCTAATATATTCCTTGTTACTGAACTCATTGCATAAAATAAGGGAAATATTGTCACGATACTAAAACTAAATTTTGCTGACTGAGCCGTCTGTAATATAGAGAGGCATAAATAAATTATTTTCAGGGAAAAATTAGTCGATCGATATGTGCTCTCGTGTTTCCGTTGATGGGTAGATCAACTTTTGGAGTACATCGGATTACAACGACTATATCTTAAGCACCCATTCGGATCTATTTTAATTTTTTTTTAAATTTTGGTGAAAATATAAAACAGATTTTCTTGAAATTTAGTATATAAGCTCTTCGGATAAAACACGACGAGCCACTTAGCTCTCAAAGACATCAGGTGTGAATAACCTGGCTTTCATTTTATTTTTGCCTACTTTAACGAATTTAAAAGAAACGCTTTTAAAACAACAACTAGCAAATTTCTAAGATAATATTAGGGCTTGAAAATCATTTTTTTTTTCATATCTAATATGGGTTATATGCTGATCACATCATATTTTTTTAATGCTTTGTAAACTGACACAAATTTACGATTCCATAATACTTTTGCTTTTAGAAATATTTGAAGCAAGAATTTGTTAACCGTCTGTGTACGAAATTATTTATTAACTTTTATTTTAATTAAAATAATTAAAACCGTATAAGATAATCTTTGAATTAAGCTTTATACAAAATAGAAATTTACCTTCTTATAGATGTACGAGATTTATACAAAATTATTATTCCAAAAATGTTTCATAATAATTACAACTATAATTTTGTTTTTAATTAACAAACATGTATAAATGTAATAATATAAATTTAATGTATAACTCGCATTTAATGTATAACACATATACATATTTAACGTACATTTATTACCTACATGAAAAATTTGAAATTATTCGAATTTTATACTTCTACTTGCGAAGCAATTTAATTAAAATATAATTTTTTGTTTTCTTATGTTGATTTAATAAAATATTTATTTTACAAAGAAATAAAAAATATTTTTTTAATTTAATGTTAAAGAGAATAGGTTAGAAAAGCGCAGTTATATTAGTAAATCTGCAATAAGCAACAATAATGCCTTTATACGATTACATAGCGTAGCTTCATCTCATAAATAAACAAATTAATTCATATAAGTAAAAATGTAAATGACGGACTCACGGATAACATATCGAAATTAACGCTAATAAATGTTTTACGCTAATATGTACACGAAAGTGCTGGTTACAAGAACAAAATAATTTACTTGATCAATTTTGCTTTAAGTCGTAAATTTTCGGGCCTAAAAAGTACTTTTAAGCGAAATTATAATATTTTAAATTCAAAAAATCAATTTCATTATATTTTAAGATTTAATATTAGTATAAGAGTAATCATTAGTCTCAATTCTAACAATATTTTGTAAAGACCTCAAATTTTTTGCTGCTTCACCTTAATTTTTAGCACTTTTCCAAAAAAAATTTGAAAAAAAGTGCTTATTAGTTTCACTCTGTCCGTCCGTCCGTCCCTCCGTCCGTCCGTCCGTCCGTCTGTCCGTGTGTCTGTTTACAAAGCTTCTACACCCTTGAAGATAGAAACCTGAAATTTTGTACGTGTATAGGTTTTTACTAGAAACTTATTTCCGTAGAACAAAATTTTTATCTATCTCCCCCCTCTAAAAGTTATACCCCCCCAAAACCCTAAAAATGGCCTTTTTAACTATTTGTTGCAATGAAACCATAAGCATTTTTGAAATTTTGTAAACGCAAAAAAAAAGTGGCTTGCTTGTCCTAGCGCGGTATACTATTGTTAAACTTTAGAAAAACAAAATGGCCGTTCAAATTTACCGTTATATAAAGTCTTTTTTTTCCAAATTTTTGATTTCGTTTTTCTTCTAAACCCCAGCCTGTAGAAGCTTGAAATTTTAAGGGCTTTTAGACATTAACAAGTAGTTCATTTCGTTAGAAGAATTAGATTTTTTTCCACCTCCACCCCCTCTCAAGTTATCTCCTCTTAAAATTTGTAAAATTTTAATTTTTGACACCTTATATTTCCGAAACCGCACGCTTTTTCAAATTTCTATAAACGCAAAAAGCTAACAGTAAATTCCACGACATTAAAAAATATAATTATTTTTCTTAACTCACACAATTAACTCTTAAAATCGAGCATTATGTTAACCCCACTTTGTATTAATTTTTACTTTATTTCAAAGACTGAATAGATCGTTCATCCTAAATATATGCAATCCTAGAAATAGTTTTGTATATGAATGAAAATAATTTTAATAGTGTGATAGGGAAAAGTGCTACTATACAAACCATTGGTTTGACCCAACTTTATATTTATACTATTTTAACACTATTACGACTTTACATTACTATAGTTTTGGTATATTCTTCTTCAGTTAAATTGTTATAGGAAAAAAGTCTCGAAAAATTAATTTACAAAATATAGAAGTATGTATATAATCAAACCTCCATATTAATAAGAAGCAAGTCACCAACTACCCAGCTATTTAAAACCTACAATCCAACAGGTTAACTTTTTAAAAAATTAATTTTTTAATTAAAAACACTGATTTTCGTATACAAAATAATATTTTTTCAATCTGCATAATGTAAATATAAAATCCCAGTTCCTTATTTTCAAAATAATATTCCCGAACAATAAATATATTAAGTTCTATAGCTATATTATATTTTCCAAAGAATATCAAATGTAGCTTAATAATTCGCTGTATTAAATTTATTTAACATGAATTAGCCAATTTTTGTTCTCTTTATAATATTATTATTTAAGTAAATATTTATGTATGATATCATAAAATTTAATGATCCCACTTATACATTTTACAATTGATATCCTTTTTAAAATGAAAACCCTTATATGTGTATGTATTCGGTTTACCATATCCATAATATTAATATTAAATTTATAAAATACCAATTTTAGTGATTTTTTCCCTTTTTTAATATGAAAAAATCCTAATATTTAAATTTCTTTAAAAAAACCTTAAAGAAAAACTAACAATACAAAAAAAAAGATTTTCAAGCTTTCTTTTTTAAAAACTCATCACCATATAGGCAAATCGCATTTCAAAAATACTGCGTGCGTGCGTATATACTCATAATGTTCT